TGATTCAAGTGCTCGGCGCTAACGTATGCGGCGCCACAACCCTCGCGATCGCACCGATACTGCTGTCGGTTACGCTTCGAGTGTTGAAACCGCTTGTGAGCGCCTAAACGCTGGCGATTCGTTGTCTTGTAGTCGCAGCCATTGTGAACGCATTTGTACCACTGTTTGCCGCCAACACTACTCTTCGTTGAGGTGTCCGCTGCCGGCGGGCCAACACAATTGGCCGAACCAATCGTTTTTGAGTCAAACGCTTCCCGATTGCCATCATTTGTCTCATTGTGATGGGCGTCCGGGATGTGGTCAAAGCCATGGCTCACCACATGTTTGCGCAGTTGCCAGCGAGTGGTGTAGACGGCGTCACAGTCGCGACGATGGCATCGGTAAAGGCGACCATCAATCGGATGGTCACATCTCATGTGATTGTATAAACCGATTCGGTTTAGAGTTTCATAATCGCAGCCATTGTGCGGACATTTGTGCCCTACTTTAGCGCCAATCCATTGGTCATCAATTGTATCGGTCTGATTGGTCGGCGCAACGGTCGCCGCCGGCACTGAATGCCCGCCCGACTGGTCGTCAATTTCTAGTCTACGCGCAACCGATTCATTGTCCACACTCTGGTCGCCGCTGTCCTCTTCCTGTTCGAGCACATCTATATAGCCATCAGTTGACACAAACGTCTCGTCCAAAACATGATGAGATGGGGCGTGTCTTTGACCGCTGGCCACCGCAGACCGACCGTTCACTGCGCGCTCACAATCAGACTCGTAGTACACATTCCGGTCGCTGTCTTCATCGTCTTCTTCGTCGGTCATAATGTCGAGCGAACCGCCGGTCGACGACTCGTCCAACACGTCGGTGTCCGTCACCACAGACTCGCCGATCGCCATCTCATCGGTCGGCGACCACTCTGTAACTGATTGCGAGTCCGCCCTCTGGTCTCTGTCCTCTTCATCGTCGAGCCACACCTCAATCGGCACTTCATTTGACATAATCTTCACGTCTAAGACATCTTCGGACGAGTGGACGGACATGACTGGTGTGGGCGGCTGTGTGTCGGCCACCGATTGGTGCGGTGTTTGCGGTCGCATATGTCTGCGCCAAACGTGACCAACGATTGCCACTTCGGTGTCCATCGGCTCGCAGTCTTCGCCCAAACAGCAGAAGTACCACAACTTGTCGTTAATTAGCGCCCAATTGTAGCATTTGGTCGCCGAAGACATCACTACAATTGATTTACGATAACATGTGTTCACTAATAGTGTTATCTATTGTTATGTAATAACACTAATGGATATTAATTACGACAAACTGGGGGTTGAGTTGTCTTATGAAATATTATGCAAATTGTTATGCATTAGAGAAATACATCTAAAAATAAATATTTATTTATTTAATTTATCGATTAATTAATTTAATTGGTTTTATTATAATTTATGCGAAGTAATAAATGTTGTAAATGCATAAATTGAACATGGTTAAATTTGCCGCACATCAAAGGGTAACCCTAATCACGTGATTAGTGTTAAGCATACCATTGGTTAGCGTTTTTTGTTTGTTTACATTGTATTCAAACATTTGAATGCATTTTGAAGTTTAATAAATGTTTAATTAATTAAATCATTGAACAAATGGATAGTTTGCATAGTTTGCGAAAGTTTCCCGATTTGTGTCCACAACCGGTGGTCACCGGAGATGACAACAAACTGAGGATTAAATTATTGGCTGTTTTTGGAGATAACGGCGAAGAAGTGATTGTTGTGACCGCCGATGACCGGGTCTACGGCTTCGGGACCAACCGTTTTGGACGACTCGGACTCGGAGTGAATGGTTTGATCGCAAGACCGCAACTGAACGCCACTCTCACCGGAAAGAAGATAATGAAGATATGCTATGGTTTGGGACACTGTTTGGGACTCACGAGTGGCGGACAGTGCTATGGATGGGGACATAACGCGTGCGGACAGATCGGCATCGGGTTTGTCAAAGACATATCAACCCCTCAACCAATCAAAATATTTAGTAACAAATTACACGCCAAACCACTGATAGACATCTCATGCGGTGATAATCACAGTCTTGTGCTGACCAAAGACGGCCTTATCTACGGCTTTGGAGCCAACGATCGGCGCCAATGCGGCCAAACAGAGGGCGAAATGATTTGTACGCCAACTAAAGTGACAATCAATGCTAAGTTTGTGTCCATTTGTTGCGGTCGTAACCATTCAGCCGCTCTGACCACTGCTGAATCAGTATATCTGTGGGGCAGTAATGACTGCCAACAGTTGGGTCCCGAAGCGGTGGCAGTCGCCGGTCAGACGTACTGTTGTCCGCATCCGTTAAAAGGTGCCAATAATCGCATTTACCGACACGTGGTCTGCGGACCCGACCATACGATAGTGATAACACCGGCGGACACTATCTATTGGTATGGTCTCAGTCACTGGACATATGATCAAAAAAGTGATCACTTGTTTAACGCAATCAAAGTTAATAGTAAAACACGATTTAAAACCATCGATACTTCTTATGATAATCACATGTTTATAGTGACCGCAATGGATGGCCAGCACTTCATTCTGGGAAAAGCATACCTTTTCATGACTTGTATTCCCATTGATATACCGATCGGTTGTTCACTGTTTGATATTTATGCCAAATATTGCGGTTTTGATCGCACTTTTGAGTCGGTATTGAAGTTAATCCGAGAGTCGATACCATTGATGAATATCCGCACCGAAAGCGATGAAGAGATCTATTTCTCTGATCCCGACGACGAAGAAGCCGTTCGATTGCGGACTAATGCGGGAACCGTTGACAAGAAGAGCACCACTTGTTGTGATCCGATTGTAGAGTAAGTATTGAGAGTTAGTTAACAAATGAATTATTAATTAATTTTTATATTTAACAGTTGTTTTCAAAAGCATTTATTGAAAGCGTTTGACAATCGATTGGATTCTGATCTCAGATTTAAAGCCGAAAATAAATACATTTATTGTCACAAAACTGTTCTAAAGATTAGAAACAAAGAGTTTTGGAGAATATGTGAACAAAATATGTTTACCGAACGGGAGATCGAAATCAACGCCTATTCTTATGACACAATTAAAGCGTTTCTCATGTTTTTGTATGGATTGCGACCCGAAGTGAATGACCAGAACTGTCGACAACTGTTAGGTTTGGCCGTAGAATACGGCGAAAGGCGACTGAAAGACATTTGTTGTAATTTTATCTAATTTTTAAAAGTATTTTACATTATTTTAATGAATTTTTAATTGAAGATTTTAAATCTGATTTTAAATAGATTTTATACAAAATTGAAAACTAGATTTAGAGAAAATAGATTTTAAATATGAATTAATTTGTTTGATAAAATAATAAATTTTACTATATTTGCGACAAATTAATAAATTTTATTATAATTTATAAGAATTTTTGATTATTTAAGATATTAATGCAGTTTTAAGTGTTTATTTAGCGGACACTTTAGTGACAGATCCGACAACAAAGCCTCCGATTAAACCACTTTCCAGTTTCCCGTTGTTTGCCGTCATTTGTGATCTGGATTTAACTTTTTATAAATTATTATGAATTTGTTTTCAATTTATGTTTCTTTATATACTTTTATTGTGAGAAGAGATAAGTGTATCAATCGTTTAATACATTACTGTATTTCATATAATATTTCTAACAATGATTTATTAAATTATTTTTAAAATTATATTTAATGCGGTTTTTATTACATTATGATTACAGTTAGTGTCAAAACTTTAGTGCTTTTGGTTTATCTCTAACTATAGATTTGATTAATAAATCATTTGACTTAAAGTATTGTTAAACTTAAGATAATATCAATACAATTGTGTAATAATTGTATGTATTTTTAAAAACATGTTATTTTCAGTGCATTTGGTTTAGGATTTCAACAAATAATCTGTAATTCGTTTTCTTATCAAACAATTGCTATATTTTTTGTATTAAAACTCAAAATAATTGATGACTAATAATAAGATTTCATTTAATATTAAAAATATATTTTCAATAGAATTTATTATCAGATCTTAAGTCGAATTCTCTATCAATAGTTAAGTAATTATCACTCATTGAAGACATCATTCAATAGTATATAAAGACATGACTTTTGTTTGAGAAAAGTATAACAAAATTGTCTTATAATTCAATTATAAAATATAAACTGCAATAAAATGATGAGAATATTAGCGATAGTGTTGTCAGTCTTAGCCCTCGTCTCAGCCCATCCTCTCATTCAAGAGACCAATGATTTGGAAATTATTGCCAAAAATATTCTCTCG